AAGGTCATTTCATGTAAAAAATAGGATTATCTTTAGATTCTCCCTAGCCCACTTTGCTGAAACCTTAACTAAGTATTGATTTTTTTCCATGTACAAACCCGAAAAGGAATTGGGTAAATGACTTGTTATTACTTTCTGATGCACTTGAGTCATCTGAGATCATAAGAGATTTCTGAGTCCTTAATTGTACATCTGCAGATTCCTCCCAGTCGGTCGACATATAATAACTTGATCAATGCTTGTGGATCTAGTGGAAACTGGAGAGAAGCTCTGAAGCTCTGTAAGAAAATGACTGAAAATGGAGTTGGACCTGATCTGGTGACTCACAATATTATTTTATCTGCATATAAGACTGGTGCCCAGTATGCAAAAGCTCTATCTTATTTTGAACTAATGAAAGGTACAAATATCCGTCCTGACACAACAACTCTTAACATCATGATATATTGCTTAACAAAGCTTGGTCAATATGAGAAAGCCATTGGTATTTTCAAGTCCATGAGGGAGAAGAGAGCAGAGTGCCGCCCTGATGTTGTAACATTTACAAGCATCATCCACTTGTACTCTGTGAATGGGCAGATAGAAAACTGTAGGGCCGTGTTTAGTACCATGGTTGCAGAAGGTCTCAAGCCTAACATTGTTTCCTATAATACACTCATGGGAGCATATGCTTCTCATGGGATGAATAAAGAGGCATTATCAGTTTTCAATGCAATTAAAAATAGTGGACTTCGTCCAGATGTTGTATCGTATACATCTTTGCTAAACTCTTATGGAAGATCACAACAACCTAAAAAGGCAAGAGAAGTGTTTGAGATGATGAAGAGAGACAAGTTGAAGCCAAATCTTGTCAGCTACAATGCAATGATTGATGCCTATGGATCTAATGGTTTGCTTGCTGAAGCTGTGGAAGTTTTGCGTGAAATGGAACAAGATGGAATCTATCCAAATGCTGTCTCAATATGCACTCTTTTGGCAGCTTGTGGCCGCTGTTCTAGGAAGGTGAATATTGATGTTGTGCTTCAAGCAGCTGAAAGGCGACACATTAAATTGAACACAGTTGCATATAATTCAGCTATTGGAAGCTATATGAATGTGGGAGAGTTTGAAAAGGCTACTTCTATGTACAGATCCATGATAAAAAGTAAAGTGATTCCTGACGCTGTTACTTTCACAGTCTTAATAAGTGGTTGCTGCAAAATGTCAAAATATTGTGAGGCACTTGAGTTTCTTTCTGAAATGATGGACTTGAAGATTCCTATGACCAAGGAAGCTTACTCTTCTGTGATCTGTGCCTACAGCAAGCAGGCAAGTGCTCTGACAAAATATGCCTCTTTAATAATCTACAGGAAATGGAAGGAGATCTCATTTCTTTTGCTTTTTGATATATGTTAGGGTAAAATCACAGAAGCAGAATCTATGTTGAACAAGATGAAGATGGCTGGCTGTTTTCCTGATGTTGTTACCTATACCATGATGCTACATGCTTATAATGCGGCAGGTCAGTTTGTATGAGACTGACATGATTAGTGAATGGCGTGAAATAAATCATATGCCTGGCTAAATACCTCTCTTTTGTTTCTGTCCAATTACAGAACACTGGAAAAAGGCCTGTGATCTTCTTCAAGAAATGGAAGAGTATAATATCCAACCAGATACTATTGCATGTTCGGCTCTGATGAGAGCTTTCAATAAGGGAGGTGATCCATCTAAGGTTCTCATTCTTGCAGAGTTTATGAGAGAGAAAGAAATCCCCTTAAGCGATGCTATTTTCTTTGAGATGGTATCAGCCTGTAGCCTGTAAGTATCCACTCTATCTTGCAAATTGCCTTGATAAGCTTGCTTGTCTGGAGATGATAGATATCCTGCTCTCTTAATAATACATCATTATGCTCATGTTCCCCGAGTAACTAGCACAGAAAATTTGGGTGTAGATTACGAGATTGGAGAACAACGATTGAGTTAATCAAATTGATGGAGCCTTCATTCTCTGTTGTTTCAATTGGACTTCTGAATCAGCTTCTGCATCTTCTGGGGAAAAGTGGAAAAATTGAATCTATGATGAAGGTACTCAGATATTTTTCACATGTCTATCTTATATTATGATAGTTGTATTTGCCTAGAAACACTGCATTGAAACCGTAAACAATTTAATTATCCCTTTGTTTGACCTCTTGTTAAGCTTCTTATATAATAAATAACTTAAATCTTGGGGGGTTATCAGTAGTGAGAGCTAATTTACTTGCTACTTTTATTCGTTATGTTTTATAAGCTAATCTTGCTCTGCATCATCTATGAACAAATGCAGTTGTTTTACAAGATTATAGGATCAGGTGCTGAAATCAACTGCAACACTTACTCGATCTTGTTGAAGAATCTTTTGGCTGTTGGAAATTGGAGGAAATATATTGAGGTGACTTATAATCAAATTTCTGTTGTTTCATACAAAATAAAATTTCATAACTTTTAAAAATAATGAATGTCATGGATGGTGTTTATTTCATCAATCTCCTATTGATAGATATGGTGGGTATCAACCTGGGGTTTCCTTAGGATCTTCTTGCACTCATCTGAAGTGAGACCTGCGGTATCACAGGGTGTCTGTTTTCAAAGTCTTGAATCAATGTGTCCATAAGTTATATGAGGCATGCATTTGAACTCAAGCACTGGCACAGCAGTTAGTGATTACATGACTGCAAAAAAGTGGGTTGTTCTTTTCAAAATCCTAGTGAAGTTCCCTTTTCAGAATTGTCCCATAAGAGAAAAGCATGCATTGCTTCAATTATCAGAGTCTTGGTCAGTTATATGTTTTGAAGTTTAATGATCATAATTATAGTTAAGGAAATGTAAGTGATCAAGGAGACTTAATCTGTCAGGTTATGCTTCAATTTTTCTATTTTTCTATTATCGACATGCAAGTGGCGGGAATCAGGACTAGCCACTTTGCCCTTCACTTATTTCCCTAAAAAATGGAGACCTGCATTTCTAGTTGATCGGGAAAACTCAGTGAATTCTTAATGCAGGTATTGGAATGGATGGAGGAAGCCAGAGTTCAGCCTTCAAATGGAATGTATTTTGACATACTCTCCTTTGCACAGAAAAGTGGAGCTACTTATTCTTCTATCATACAGGAAAGAGTTGGTATGCAAATACTTGTCTCCCACACAAGAGAATCATGTTTTGGAACACATGCTTCTATCTAATATAAGTGAAAAAAATATTTAAACCTAGTCATTTCATTGGGTTTCTGTTTCTTATTCTGGTTGTTGATGTTTTGCAGAATCGTTGAGAAGAAAATCTGGGAATGAAGTCTCGACAAGCAAGGTGTGAGATCCTTCCTACTCTCCGCTGGTTAAATTGGGGGGAAAATTAACCCGTGCCCTGCAAGGAGTTTATGACATTTCCAGTAATATATCCAAACTGTGGAAAGATGATCATTTTTCAGACGATGAGAAATGGAACTTTGGAATAGGAAATGAATAACAAGAAATTAGTCACTGCAGTTGATGCTCCTGATGAAAGTTCATTGAGCTGGGTAATGCTAGAGCACTTTCTCAATATGTCTGTTGACGCCTGAGAGGTCCTTTGCTTTCAAAATGTCGTTTTAGAATGCAGGTTATGTCTGTGATCAAGGATGATGCCAGAGTGTCATATGCAATTGTAGCAAGGGATGGAAATGGCCTAATGTGAGGAGCAATACCAAGTCATTACAGCGTCATTGCACCTGTGAGAATATGGAGTTCAGTGACAATGTAATACATTGTCAATCCCATCAATATTGAGAATCTGTTTTACAAATGCAATCTATTATGTTCTCAAGAACACGAGAGGATTTCGATCTGATTTGGATTAAACCCGCCACTCAAGAGTAGACAATCCACCGTGGACAGAATGGTGATCCGGGCTGCTTTACTGGTTCAACGATGTCCTGTTTATGCCGGGATAGGTCGAAGACTATGGATACTTTGCTCAGTGTAGTTTCTATCTAGTTTCTCTTTGGCGGAAAGACTGTAGCAAATGCTAGATATCAAGTTAACTACAAAACCAACACCATGGCTGGCATATGATCTAGTTGTGTAATGCATTGTGAGGCAGTAGGTGGATAATGCAGCTGGTGTCTATCGTCTATAACATCTGTAGACATAAAATCCTGAAATTTGTGTCTTTGTAATAAGAAAAGGAATATTTTTTTAATTAAAAAAATGAGTATCCCTTGATCTTTCTTTTTGTGGAATGTATTACGCATCTTTTTTTTTAAAAAAAATACTTATTTTCTTTCTCGTACTAATAATAGTTCCTCTCAGTTTTCTTGTCAACAAGTACCTCTCTATTTTGTTCTTGGATGAGCATTTCTATATTAAAATCTCTTTATATTTATGAATAAATTATTTTCTAATAATTTTTATATTCTTTATTTGGATTTGAACCAAAATAATAATATATATCTATCAATTGCTATTAAAATTATGGTTATTAACTCGAACTAGACGAGTATCCATCAACTTAGATTTAATGTTGTTGATCTCACCAAATCTCAAATCAATTTTTTTTATTTCAAAATAATATTCTTAATAAAAATTAATATAATTAAGATAAAACACATCACCATCCTCCGAGAGAGCGGGGAAAAACATCTATCAATTGGTGCCCATTTTGCCTGAGAGGTTCGCATGCTAGTCTCCTAAAAAGCAGGCAAAAAAGATAATTCAACCTTCGCAATAATTACAACTACGACGTCGCTTTCAAACATGACATGAAGCACCTCCAAAACCGGACAAGTGGCAGTTGGCTTCCACATCCACCAGGAAGCATCCATATTCCTTACTCTTTCAAAACACTTTTAAGTTACCGAATTACCCCTTTCCCCCTCCTAGCCGTTATACCCTATTTCATCCTGTAACAACCCTGAAACACCATCGTCATTTCCAAACCGATCGAGGACATCTCCGTCATTTCATCTTCCCTCCCCTCTTTTCTTCCGTGAAAAACCAGCAGTCAAAGAGATGCCTCCTTTTCAATTCTCAATTTGTTAGTTTTTTTCTTAAATCAAATCATGGCGTCTTCTTCTGATCCGGTCCTAAAACCAGAAATCGGCGGCGGAGTATGTGGTGGCGGAAGCGGAGGATGCGGAGGTGGAGGTGCTGGAGGAGAGAGCTCAGAGGCGGCGGTGATAGCAAACGATCAGTTATTACTGTACAGAGGACTTAAGAAGCCAAGGAAGGAGAGAGGATGCACCGCTAAAGAACGTATTAGCAAAATGCCTCCTTGCACTGCTGGTAAACGTAGCTCCATTTACCGTGGCGTCACCAGGTATAAATATACGTATCCGTGGGTGTTAAGGTGCCTGTATACGTATGCACAAGGTTCTTTTTTAGGGTTGAGGTTCAAAGTTTTTATCTTTTTTATCTTTTTGTATAATTGAGTGTGATTGTGTTAGGGCAAAGTTGAAGACAGTTAGTTGCTTGTGCTATGTGTATTATGTGTTTGACAATACGTGTAAACGAGGGTTTAGAGGAAATAAATGGTTGTGGGAGAAAGTGTTGAGGTAATTCAGGAGATTTGGAAATGCTAATTTTAATAGAATATTTGATGCAAGGCTTCTGGTGGATCAATGTAGTAGAATGGGGCCTGGAAAAGAAAGGGAGTGTTTTTTTTTTATTTAAATAAAATAAATGTGATTTTGGGTCATTTTGAGGGTACAGGGTGGTTACCTTGGATTTTTAAGGGTAGTCAATAGCTAATTCAGGAGATTTGGAAATGCTAATTTTAATAGGATACTGGACACAAGGCTTCTGGTGGATCAATGTAGTAGAATGGGGCCTGGAAAAGAAAGGGATTGTTTTTTTATATTTATTTAAATAAAATAATGTGATTTTGGGTCATTTTGAGGGTACAGAGTGGTTCCCTTGGATTTTCAAGTTTAGTCAATAGCAACACAGAATTATGATTTCATGGCTGATCACATTTCTATTGTTTGGTTTGGTCAATAGGCATAGGTGGACTGGTCGATATGAAGCTCACCTTTGGGATAAGAGTACCTGGAACCAGAATCAGAATAAGAAGGGAAAGCAAGGTCTCTCTCTCGCTTCCTCCCTCCTTCTCCTCTTTCTTTACAATGCAGTCATGGGTATATTATGCAAACTGACACTGGCTTTGTCTCCTTGTTGTGCTTGGAATGGTCGGCCGGGCTCGTTCTTCCAGTATACTTGGGTATGTTACTGGCTTTACACAATCTTTTTTCTTGAAATATGCTCATACTTGTGCTCTTCATATTTATTGGATTCATTAAGTTCTACTCACTGGCAGGGGCATATGATGACGAGGAAGCTGCTGCTAGGGCATATGATCTAGCTGCTTTGAAATATTGGGGCCCTGGAACACTCATTAATTTTCCAGTGAGATAAAAAGTCCAGTTGAACCTTTCTCAGTTTCTTGTACAGAGCTCATTCATGTTTTTCTGTTTACTGATTAAGTTTCGTCACAATGTCCTGCAGGTTACTGATTATACGAGAGATCTTGAAGAAATGCAGAATGTCTCAAGAGAAGAGTATCTGGCATCTCTTCGGAGGTGTGTATCTAGTCTGAAAAACATACTGTCTACAGTAATCATGCTGTTTCTAATGATGGATGTTTTCTGCAGAAAGAGTAGTGGTTTTTCAAGGGGAGTCTCAAAGTACCGTGCACTATCTAGGTATGCTCTTGGAACCTTTTACTTTTTTCTGCACAAATTATCCTTTCATTTATGGTACCTTTTGCTTTTCCCTAAAGCATTCTTTTGGTATATGATTGCCTAATCACATCTGCTTAAAATATTACTAATATTTTGTTTCGGCTTTCAGTCGATGGGACTCATCTTATAGTCGTATGCCTGGATCTGAATACTTCAGTAACGTAAACTATGGTAAGGTCTGATTTCTTAATTCAGGGATTCTGTATTTATCATTAATCAAGACACCAAATTATATAAAAGAATTCTGCAGTGTTATGTTGCCTTGCAAAATGGCCTTTTGACAATAAATTGGTGACTGAAGGCTCCTGTGAGTATTTAAATTCTCCCACCTAGTTTACCTCCAAAATTAATGCCATCTAAGGGCAATATTTCATTATAAGGTGCAGGTGATGATCAAGCAGCTGAGAGTGAATACAGTTTTTGTATTGAGAGAAAGATAGATCTGACAGGCTATATTAAATGGTGGGGTTCCAATAAAACTAGTCTGGCAGAGTCTATGACAAAGTCATCCGAGGATACAAAACATGGCTGCGCTGACGACATTGGCAGTGAACTTAAAACAACAGAACGGGAAGTGCAATGTACTGAGCCATACCAAATGCCCCGTTTAGGCTTATCTGTTGAAGGAAAAAGGCATAAAGGTTCTAAGATATCTGCTTTGAGCATTTTGTCACAGTCAGCTGCATACAAGAACTTGCAAGAGAAGGCATCAAAAAAGCAAGAAACTGTCACTGAAAATGATGAGAATGAAAACAGAAATAATATCAACAAGATGGACCATGGCAAAGCAGTTGAGAAGTCCACAAGTCACGATAGCAACAGTGAGAGGCTTGCAGCTGCATTAGGAATGACTGGGGGGTTGTCTCTTCAAAGAAATGTTCCATTGACTCCCTTCTTGTCTGCTCCTCTTCTGACCAACTACAACACAATCGATCCCTTAGTAGACCCCATCCTTTGGACATCTCTTGTTCCTGCTCTTCCTACTGGACTTTCTCGAAATCCTGAGGTAGGTTTATTCTCGCTTAAAGCTTCTCAATATTTCTTTCTTTTTTCTTAATCTGCAATCCTCCATTTCTTGTGTCTATTTCCTTGCTAGAGTATAAGAATGTTTCTTTTGAAAAACTGCCAAGAAGATAAATTATTATAAATTTATGAGCAATCATGAATCAGTTTCAGAGGTCAGGAAAATTGTTGTCGTCTTGAGTGAGTTGATCTCTCAGTGTAGAATACCAGAGAAACATCATCTATAACTAATATCCTGTCAGAAATTTGATCCCAAGAAAACTTGGTCATGTAGTTTCGCATGTCCTGGGAAGCATTAAAACTGTGAGGTTTTCTTGGTAAAGCGTGGAATCAGACGGCAGGGTGCCCGCCTATAGTTTTAAGATACACTAATACTACTCAGTAATCTCACCTGTCATTACAAGAGTACAAAGTCGACACTATGGTGAAACTCTGCCGTGATTTATTGTTGCCTGTATAATTGCTTAATTAAATCCTTTAATGTGGTGATGCAGGTTACAAAGACTGAGACGAGTTCGACTTATAGTTTCTTTCGGCCAGAGGAGTGATGTTGTCTCAACTCTTACTCCGCCCTTTACAGGAAAGCAGATATTCCTTCTATTTGGGAAAAGAAGAGCAGGAATTTGGGAGATTTTAGCATCAGATCCCTCAGAAAGCCAGATGCAGATATTTGGAAGGTTTCAGTGTGACAAATCCAAGGAAAAGTGTCCTATTTGCAATTTTTTCTTCCGAGATAAGGCTTTTACTTCTTTTTACAGGTTTGCTTACGTTTGTTTCAGAGAATATACAAAGACATCGTAATGTATATGGACATTAATCACATGTAGAGTTTCTATACTCGCAGCTGATGTACACGAAGTTTCAGAATTCAGTCCCCCCAAGAAATATTTATGTGTGTGTGACTGAATTTTATCTATGACGCAGAAGGGGAAAAACGACACATGTTTTGCGTTGAAATGAAAATGTTGAACTCCCGGCCATTATTGTTAAAATACTGAGTTGACTCGTAATCTTATACGTGTCTCGTGTAAAATCAGATTTAATTTGTACAGAATCGGTAAACTTGGTTTAATTTTATAAATTTATTAAATTTATAATATAAATCCAGTTATATCTAAATTTAATTTTAAAATATTTGCTAATTAATTTTATAAAATTGAATATATCTCTCAAACATTACTGAAATTTTATAGAAAAATATTAGATAGATAAAAATATAATGATAAATTTTCAGGTTAGAGTTTGGGAACATGATATTTCAAAAAGTTAAAGTTGGTAAATAAATTTTATCAAATATGTCAAACTAGATATATGTATTGTTTGAAATATATTTAGAGCTATCAATAAAATTTTATTGTAATTAAAGTACAATAAAGTTGGGTTGAAAACTAAATATTTAAAACTTTTCAAAAGTTAGGTTGAAAACTAAATATTTAAAACTTTTCAATTCTATATTGTAAGTCTAGTAATTCATTCAAGTGAGAGAGAACAAGATATTTGAAATCAGAATTCAGATTTATCAAGAATATACGAAAATTAAAAATTCAAAACTATATGGAAGAGTTTTAACATGAAGATTTTTTTATTATTCTATTTTATTTATTTTTTTAATTTTAAATAATTATCTTTAATTTGAATTTTTTTAGCATATTAGATATTATTTGAAGATTTATTTCATTATTGAATTTATATTAGTTAATTATTAGTTTAGAGTTATTAACTTTCAACTCAAAATTTCAACCCAAAAGGAGATCATAAGGTAGTGTATTTTCTATCATTCAATAATTTTTTTGTATTGAGAAGTTTTATTCTAAATTTTTTTATTTTTTTATGTTATTAATTTAAACTACCTATCTCTCTTATTTTATTTAGAATATTCATTGATTATAACATTATTGACTAATTTTATCATATTTTAATTTAATTTATTTTTTTAATTGGAATTGTCAATTCATAATTAGTTAAAACATTGTTTATATTTTTATGATTTTACAATTTGAATTTACCATCCAAATTTATATTATATTTTTAATGTTGTATTAAAAAAGCATCTATGACAACCTTACTCCCTGCGTATCAAAAAAATAATGGATTAAAAAAGAAAAAAAAAGGAATGTTCTTGTTCTAAGATTTGGTCTTGGCCAGTGGAAGACATGGTTGATCTGGACTGGTAAGATGAATAGGTTTTAAGCTGATTTACAAGCAACCTTTATCTGATAATTATCAAAAAAAAAAAAACCTTCATCTAAAACCTACACTTCTGATCTTATCGATGTTCGTGCTCTCCGTTCCTACTGGACGGATAACGCCTCCTCCCCAACTCAAAGACAATTTATTTCCCCCGCAACAGAGGAGGCTTAGCCAAAATCTGAACCGCTGCCATGTGATAATTGGTAGAGCTTATTATCCAACTAATCAAATTTTTTATGGCTGCGCGAGGATAGGCAGCCATGTCTATTGCGACTGCCCAAGTGTTGGTGGATTCTGCTTGCATATGGGCTGTGGTTGGCATAGTTAGGACAGTTATGGCTAGCACCAGCAGTGGTTTAAATCCATTACGTGGTTAGCTATTCAAGGGACATTATTCCATGTTTAAATTTGTAGTTCGATAGTCAGTTTTATCTTGAAAAGAGAGTTGTTATCTGTATTTTATAAATTTTCGGTAGCTTTTAGTCAAAGTGGGATACTGATATTATCATAGCCCCTGGTCAACAAGCTTGTAAGCAAAGAGCATGTAACCCACATTCTCACCAATGGTGTTATTACATGGTTGGCTTTTCAGGAAGTGTTGTCTCACTAAGAAGAATAAACAATGAGCACAGGGGAAATCACTTCATAGCAAAGCCACGTTTGCATGGAAAATCATATAAATGCCGCATTGAGAATAGTAGAGACAACTCTGACAGCCATTCTCGAGACTCAGAAGTGGTGGAAGGCAGGCTTGATTCAGCAGAATCAAGTGCTCAAGTTCCCAAAAAAAAATGGGGGCATCTCAAATGGGAGATTTGGCTTTGGAACTTCCAATTTAAGAACCTCAATAGCTTGACTGATTTTAGGCCTCTGGCAGTTGGATGAATACTACACTATCCAACAATCAATAAGCATTCCATCTCATGCTTATTGAAATCAATGTTTAACCTCTCACCAGCTGCTTCAAGAACATCCCCAGCTCCATAAGCTCCCAAAACCATTCAACTAGGCCTTGATGTGACTCTTCATCTTTATGTTTCCTTGTCCCACAAGCTATTTCCAAAACTAAAACCCCAAAGCTATAAACATATGCTTCTTTACCTGCCCTGCCTTGATAGTAAAATCCAGGAGCTACACAGTCAAATGTCCCCACCATCTTTCTTGTTTGATGGGCCAGGTCAGGCTGGTCTAGAAACATGGCTGCACCAAAATCACCAAGAATGGCATTGCATTTTGAGCCCAAAATCACATTAGTTGACTTGATATCGCTATGCATAACACATTTCTTTGATTCTTCATGCAGATAAACAATGTCGACGACAAATCAAAAACTAGACTGAACCTTGTCTTCCATGGTAGTTGCATGCCATTTCTAAGAAGATGAGTTTTTAGACTTCCATTTGACATGTAACCATAAGCAAGCAAAAATTCACCTCCGTCAGTGCTCCAACCTATCAATAGCATAATGTTCCCATGTTCCAACTGACTCGTGATTATTAATTCAGTGGTGATTCTTCAGCATGTTTATGTCCTCTGTCTATTTACAGCAACCTTGTAGTTGGGATTGCTTAGCTATCCCTTGTAAAAACATCCAGTACCTCCTTGTCCCAACATTCTCTTGCTTGAAAAGTTATTGGTAGCAGAAACTAGATCGTGGAAATCCATCTCCTGTCAGAACTTCTCTTGCTAATTCTAAAATTGTACGTGGGCTTTTTCCATAGATTTTCTCTCTTCTTTGTCACTATAAGCCCTACCACTATTGTCAATCATCAGAAGAATACAAATAACAGCACCTAGTTTCCAGTTAACCTTACCTTCCCGTACCAAGCATTTCTGTAGATTTATCTAGAATCCCCCAAGAGATTAGGGGGTCTATCTTGGTTACCTGAACTGGGATTATACTGAGATGAACTTTCTTGTATGGATGTTGCTGTTGGAATGCAGAGAGACATCTCTTCGTAGTTACTTGTTTGAGGCAATTTGGGTTGACAGACGTTGTGTTGTACTCTGTTACGTGTTTCAAGATGGAATAACATTAGTGATTGGAAGACTAGGCACGTGAAAGGAGAGGTCAGTAACTTGTTTGAAGTGTCATGAATGGAAGTTTTGCAAATGAGAAAACGGGTCTACAGAGTTTGGAAGGAGCAAGGCTTTGGATACTAGTATTTCAAAACATCAAACACAGAGCAGCAGGTGGCTTGTGAAAGTCTTATTTGAGAAACATGACAGAAGAGTCAACAGCACGGCATAGATACTACCAAGAAATCTAAAAAAAATGGAGTTAGTGATGAACTGGCCAAAGATCTGAAAATGGAAACGGGCAACCAGAAGTGTCCATATCCCTTTTTTTGGTTCAACTTGACAAAAACCGTTATAAGAGAATAACTGAAACGAAGTATTATATACAAGAATTAAAGCGAACAAACGAAGAATGATTCTATCGGCAAGGAAGCAGCTTTCGCATTTCATATCAGTGCCCATATATCTCCAAGTAATTAAAAGCTTTTGTTATTTCTCTACTTGGAATATCAGTGACATTTCCGAGGAATAGCCTAGAAACTTGAGAATAGATAAAGTAATATGAAGTGGAAATCTTTAAAATGGAAGTAGATTTTGTAATCATACGAGGTCAATAAAAACTTGACAAGCTTAATGGCCAAACTCGATGTAATGAGGGGTACATTTGAATCAGCAGGTGAAGGTACTAATATCCAGAGAGCAATACACATTCTTCTGATTCTTCTTGGAGATAAAGAAATGCGAATGCAAAGTCAAAAGCTATATTGAACCTCACCTTCAGTGGAGATGTGTTTCATTTCTGAAAAGACGATTATCTACACTTCCATTTGATATACACACAAACCCGAAGACGAGTAAAAGTAAGCAGTCACCTTCATTGTCGCTCCAACCTATCAATTGGACAGCATTCCAGCTTAGTCATGCCCTATTGGTAAGTGTTGATATTGCAAGCCGAGACAAAGAACCATATTGACTTCTGCAAGAACCTTACTAATTGTCGGATATCACATAGATGGAGATGGAAACAAGATACTAGCAGCAGGGGGTGATTCCTGGGTACTCGTTGAAAAATTATTTGATAGAACAAATACAGCAGATCACACAATCTATATGTCGTTGCTTATGTAAAGAAAAAATTCAAATGACCATAACGACATGAATTTCTAACCATGTGAGCTTCCTTCGAGTATCTTTTGTGCAGTTAATAGGATCACAAGGAAAAAATCAGTGTATATGGTACAAAACTTTAGGGATGCACAGGAAACTGTGTCGTCCCCTTTCTTATTACAGAAAAATCAGGCTCTTATTTCTTACAGCGAACTGTAAAAAGAAAAAAAAAATCTCTTCCTGCGGTTGCCTATGGGCGATGTTTTACAACAGGTTTGCTTCTGGAACAGAACATATGAAAATTAAGCATGCAAAAAGCTCAACTGTCCGAATGCACTTGATTCAACTAAACACCAATCTCGATCTAGATGCAGTCGGCTTCATGAATTTTCTTTTACTGTTGTGTTATTTGAAATCATTTTCTCCATTGTTTGACTGCAGGCATCTGCAGTCGCCAAAATCTACCATAGCCGTTCTGCATTTCCATGTATAGAGTCCAACCCAGGGACGCCGTTTTCCATTTCCTGCATATTTCTTTTGTGTCAGCTGTTTTTCATTCCGGCATATTTTCTTCG